AATTTTTCATTTTCAATATTTTCTATTTCTAAATTATTTTATACAAGAAGAGGGAGTAGCTTAATTTGGTTTGATCATATTTTATACAACGGAGTTGTAGTCAGCAACATCTCGAAATTTCTTCCCATCTATCATTTAACCACTCGAGGGTAAATCCATCTTCCTATTTCGGAAAAAGAGACAGCGCATATGTATGTTCTAGATCCATTTTGTTACAAGGAAAGTGACCCGTAAAGTGCTACGCAGTAAGACAATGCACTTCTTCAGCAGTTCTTCACATGAAGATGCACATACGTTATTATAACAGAATAAGGAAAACAGGAAGAAGACATTGTACGAAACTCAAGAGAAAATTACTAGAAATAGTGTTTGACAATCGATAATATAAGTTAATTACAAAATAGTTTTAAATGAACTATTGCCATAAAGTGAAATACTGATTTTTAATGGTTGAAAATGAATACTGATTTTTAATGGAGGAAAACACGATATTACTTTAAGTTATTTGAAGGCAACGAACAATGTATAATAATAGCGGATTGTTTTCTCTAAAAAGTAGGTCTAATGAATGCGAAAGGACGCCCGGATAGAGTGACGTACCTGTTAAAATAAGCCATCAGTTGAAAGGCGGTATTAAGGTGTTTCACCGTGCCAATCTTGACGCGTGGCAGAAAACCGTAGGCTGTGAGCATGTTGTCCATCAGAATTGGACCCCAGCAAATAACGAACAACACCACCACTGCTACGAGCATTTTCACTACCTATGCGTCAAGCAAATTCACCTCATTTACAATTTACAATTGCAATATACCATTTTTTATCAATAATTATTTATATTAAAATTGTATTTAAATCAGCATTGTTCAAAATGAAACTAATTTAACCATTAACTGCATGATTCTATAATACCGTACATCGAATGAAAAGTCAGAAGTATTTAAAGATAAAACGAATTTTTCAATATATGTACTTTTTCGTTACTTTCAAGTAGGAAAGTTAGAAAAGCTCTTTATAATTTCCTGCTACCGTTGACAGAAAAAACCGTATTGATCTAAGTTATTAAAACAGTCGGTTATATAAGTTATGAATCGAAAACGAAAAAACGGTGAACGTTTTAACGGAACTTCGTCGTTCATTTCTTTTCCATCTTCTTCATCCCTTCTATCAGCTCAATCGAGTTACGACTCGGAGCGATCCTTCCGTTCTAAAAGTAACAAGTTCGCTCCACATCCCAATGACCCTTTATAGTCGCCCCTTATGATAAGAAGTAGCAGTGAATTCTGCCTGAGGTAACTTTGTAAAATCCATTCTAGCCAATTGTTTTTAACCTGAATCAGAAATTTCGCTTCAATTTTTAATGAGTAGTCCCAATCTTTCAATTGAATTAATTGTTCAACGTATAAGAATATTCTAAATGATTTGTAAAATAGAAAATTGGCATTCAACCCTCGATTCTAGCTTTAACGGAATTTTCAGCCATGAATTCATTTATTAATCAGCGTTCGATTTAAGAAAGTGACGGGAATTCGAAAAATGGGGCTATTTGCATAAACGGGGGTTCCGCTCGGCGGCTCCCATTTGCGCGAGAGCGACGCTTAACATCCACAATAATTACCATTTGAATGGAAGTGTCGGCACGTTTACTTAGGCAAATTGTTGCGCACAAGAGCCATAGAATCGCAGTATCGAACTTTTATGAATTTCCACGACCCGTGCGAGCCACCTTCTTCGCGATTTCTCTGTCTTTCCATTCCATTGCCTCCGACCGGAGTTTTAAAATTCTAAACACCCCCTTGAGCTACACTCAATTCTCTAAATCTGGCTATTTCAGATAATAAAAATACGCAATTCGCCGGGGCTTTAGGTACTCTCTTATACGACATACCGAAGCCCGCGAGTGGATTGTAAAGTAATACTACTCGCAATTCAATGTCTTCGAATTCTCGCAACTCCTAACAGAGTTGTGGATTCAACGAACCTGTCTCATGGTTCGAGACTCCTCCTCGGTTTGCCCATCCTCTCGAGCACGTCTACAGTTCCGCGCGCCCTGTCTCTGCGTCATGGGTATCGATTCCGTATTGACGATAGGTGGATTCAAGCTGTAACATTTGAAAACAAATTCCGAACCGCGATATAAAGTAGGACGTAAAAAATATATAAAGCGAAATTGATCGTGAAATTGCTGTACATGGAATTTTATTAAAAATAATATCTCATAAAAGATTTAGGAATTAAAAATCTCACGCATTGTCAAGTTTTTATACAAGTAAAAAAATTTGACTGGAATTAATTCATCTCTTTTGTGTTTACTGATTCGCATGACTGACAAATGAGATACTATCCAAATTCCCAAAGAATTCGGACAATCATCGAACATTAAAGCATTATATATGATTGAAACACTCCGAGAAAAATGTCTTTTTATTTCTGTTAATGTTAACATCACCTTCTAATGACTACTGCTTTTGAAAAAGTTATATCTCTCCACTCCACATAAGAAAACATTGAAGAAATATTAAAATAACTACAAGAATGCAGAATGCAAGGCATTTAATAAAAAAGCAATTTTAAAATAGAACGCATTTGTTCTCCTAAATAGTATATTAAGTAAATATTGATCTTATGCTTTCGAAGGAAATAATAATACACTTTGATGAAACGGTTCCTAGATCGAGCATACTGATCTCGTTACTGAAAATTGTCAATCAATGTGATGAACGATATTGGACCCAAAATGGTTGACTAGATATTAATCTAGATGTTACACCGAGTATAGCAGTTAGAAGTTTTGATTGACGGAATGAAACTTGTAGCTAAATTGAAAAAGCAAATTATGATGTTGCATGGGTTCCAGGTAGGCTACTGTCTACGTATTGAACAGATGCCTGAATAAGAATCTTGAAGGCATCAAGAACTTCTTTAAACTTATAAATGTTTGTAACTTTTATAATTCTTACAACTATTTGGGAAATGTTTAAGAATTTTATATAGCTCAGTTTCTTCAACTTTTAAGCAAAACTGCATATTTCCCCAGATTTTTTCTCCTCCAGATATTTAAATATTCATCAGTATTCTCCAAATAAAAATTGTATTTTTACTCTATAACTGTATCACATTGCGAAATCAGTAATGTAGAAAATTTTTGAAGTTTTTTCTCGCTCTAAAAGCTTGTAATAATGCACAGTGGAATTCTCATACTCCCAGTGTGTATACACAAAGTAATTAGTATGCTAATTGATACAGAGTTTTCCTATGTACCTCTGGAAAGCTTTTTAAATTACTTCTTTGAATCTTATCATTCCCAGATGCGTAGCAATTCACTGAAAACCCGTTTTAGCTGAAGGATTCAAATGAAAATACTGTTGAAAATCATTTTTCCTCCAACTTTCACTTAGCTTTACACACAGAGGAAAATAATTTAAGCATGTTCCAAAATTATTAACTATAAATTATTTCCCTACATAATTATAATATACATAGATTTAACCATTAGTATATAAATATAATAATATTTGTATAGAAAATGTTTCATAGAAAAAATTGTGTTTCATTTACTTTTATCTCTGTTTCATTTCTGTAAAATTTCAAAAATCGTTTACTCCATATGTTTCCAGCACGTGATGTATGCTTTTACGAAGCAGACGATGCAGAATAACTCTCTGCAATTGGCAATATCATTATTGATAATGATTTATTGATATTTACTCGTCATAGCTGATTCTGCTTTCATAAGAAAGATCGATACTGCAAACGGATACTAAATTATGGTTGAACCGTGATTTCGCGTTTCCAAAGTAAACATATAGCTAGATTCTTGATGACTGGACACGAAATCGACCGAATAAAAGCACATCAGAAAATTGTATGCAAAAATTGCAATATGAAACCGTGTCATGACGTTACATGTTAAAAACTATGATATTAAAATTAGGAATTTTATCACTGCTTCACCATTACGGGGCATTATTGATTTACGAATCCGAAATTTATAATCTGCATTATAATTTCAACAAAGATTAATTGTGCGTTATATTCGGATCAGTCTGGATTTGAACATTCGAAGTTCAAAACGTAAATCCGAGACTTATAATTATTCCGAATGTTTTTTAAAAAATATTTATTCGAGTATTCATTTATTTATTCATTTATTTATTTATTTATTTATTTATTATTAATATCCCACGAAAAATAATGTTATTATATTATTTGTTGTTATATTATAATATATATTGAATGTTATTATAGTTGTAATAAGTTAAAGGAATGAGGATACCCTTACGATATGTACGTAAAAATTTATGCTGAACATTTCTTGATCGCGTGTATGTGAGACTTATAATATAAAAACCAGACCGTGGCGCAATGTTCCGGAGTCGGTCTAGAGAGAGCAATGAAATATTTTTAGGGTATGGGAATTGGGAAAATATTTAGTGGTTCTATAAATAAGGCCCAAAGACTTATGAGAAGAAGTAATAAAATTAAAATGATCGTTAAAACTAAGGTCAGTTGAAAATAAAACTCCAAGGTCTCCAATATTGTACACAGCATCCAAAGGATTGCCAAAAAATGTGAACGATGACTAAAACAAATGTGTTTAGCGATATTGATAGTCTATTGGGTGATAGACAAACCTGAAATCTGTTCAAGTCGCGTTGAATACGATAATAATCAGTGAAAAGGTATCTTTATTAATATTTTTAGATCATCTGCAAATAGCAAAAATTTGCAAAAAAGGAATGCCATTGATGAAGATATTAAACAGATGGGTCTAATAGGAGAGCCCTGAGAGATCCCGGATTTAACATGAATGAACTTTGAACAAACATTATTATATTTTAATATTTGCAGTCTATCACTAAGAAAACAAATTAGTCACACTAATAGACTTCCTCTTTATAAAATATCTCGATGGATAATAAAATTTATCTTCTCTAAGTGAAGAAATTTAGTAACTATTGATAGTAAAATTTTAAGATCATAACAGAACTAATTTTTGGCAATCTTTTGGCTGGATTATTAAATCTAATAATATGGACCAGTTGATTTTCGAATTACGTTAAGTAAACAGTTGAAAACTTACGTGCGTCGCGACGTCATGTGGAATCGGCGCTTCATCACTCGCCAAATCTCCCAGCAAATGGCCGTATAACAGAAGATCATTATAGTGAGAGGTAGAACCAGGACCAGGACCAACATGTAAACTTCATGCGCACGCCATAAAAGTCCAGCGTCTGAGTCGCGTACACACCAGTAAGCAATTATCCTCAATCCGACCTCTTTGTGGGTCTATAACAAAATTTTCCAAGGCAAATGGGAAAACATCTTTTAAATGCTTCGTAAAACTTTGCTATAACTATATTTCCTCATTCAAAAACAACCCATTAATTAGAGAAAACCGGGAGAGGAGATGAATGACAGGAAAAACTGAAAAAGTTTTAGGAGAGAGAGAAGAGTGGGTCACAGGATGGGAAGAGGAAGTTACGGAAAGGAACAAGAAAATAAGGACAAAGTAAGAGCCAATTAATAAAACAGACAGGAGGATAGAAGAAAGTACGGAATGGGAAAATAAATGAGAGAAGAAGTGTGTTGTGAAAGTGCATGGTAAGGAGACTGGAAATGGCAAAGTTGAACTTGTAGAAAGGGGTGGACGGTGTGAGAAAAAGAGAAAGGGGTAAAATGGATGAGAAAGAGAAAAAGGAATGTCAGATGTCCAAAGAAGGAGAAGGGAGTAAGAAAAACGTGGTAGCTTTGCAGTTTGCAGATTAGATAGGAACGAAATTCATATAGACGCATACTTTCTCTCACACGCGCGTGCATTGTAAATGTAAAATAACTGTAAAAGCTAGATCAATTTGTAACTCCAGAGGAGAAACAATAAAGCTATACTTACATACATACAGTCAGAAACACGTAATAAAATGATATCAATAAAAATTGATAAGGGAAACGCGATGTGATGAACGTTTTCGAAAAATTCTGGTAAAGGAATATCGGAAGTTGTTTTCACGAAAACCGATTAGTACACTGTTGAACGAATTGCCACTCAATGATCTTCGCCAGCTATCTTTACTGCCTCGCGTTAAAAAATTTATGTATTAAACTATGAAATGCATTTACAAGACACATTCTGTGAGACCATAAAGGAACTCCTTTTATCGTCACATTCGCCCCGTTTACTGGGACAGTATTCCTGCGATATTCACTAATTTTTTCATCGTTCATCATTTTCATCGTTTCGGACTCTTTCGACAGAAAATAATTAGCACATTTAACATGCAAATTTTAATCCTGTGTAACGAAGTCATTAAACGTGCCTCGATATCATGAAGGAAATTAAGAAAATTTCATAATACGATACAAAGAAAACTTCAGATTTTTATTACAAACCGAGTAAACTGTCCAAGGAATGTTATCGGAATAGACGAGAAGAGAATGAATTAAAGAGAGAATTAATTAAATTTCATTTGAATCAAGTTTTTTTTATAACATTTCCCAGCAAAAAGCGTACTTAAATATTTGATTCCCTCAATTTTATAATTTAATCAAATCGGACAAGCAAAATTCCATATCCTTAATTAAAAAATACATAGAATTCCAATCGTTAGTTTCAATATTATTGATATACAGACGTTAAAAAGTTATACGTGTTAAAAATTCGTACAAGGAAATCGAATTTTTTACTAAAAATGCTCTCACTAGATAGAAGAAGTTAAGACGAATACAAAATCGATTTGATTCAATCTGTTCGAAAATTTAAGCACAGCGCTCGGAATTACTGACACAGTGACCTAATTATGCGTATCAGCTGAGTGTCTAAACCAAGTCAGTCAACGTGCGAAGAGGACAATAGCAACGAAGAAGCAATTTAAATACATGATACAATTTCAATCAGTGACTCTCTTTTCGCAATATTTCTTTATACTTATTACAAAAAATAGCGAACGTATCACTTGTTACACAATTTACTATGACGACACTGGGGGTAGATCGGTTTTCCATTTCGATATGAAAAACTTAACGCTCCGATAAACACGAACGGTTTCTTCCCGTGACAGGAACGTCATATCCGTCGATTTCACCGTGTTTAAATCTACGTACTCTATGTATACATATATTCAATAACTATTACTGTCCTGTATATATGTATATTTGCACGGATCACCAATTTCTTCAAATGGAATATTGGAAATCGAAACTCAGGGAAGATGTTCCTACCTTCCGGAACTGTGCCAATGGTAGCTGAACGAACGAGATTGATATAATTGGCCAGTTTGATTAAAAAAGAAAAACGTCAGCGTTTTACCATTTCTTCAGGTGACATTAAAGTTCTACCGATGCGATTCTTACAATTAAAATAGGATCACAGCACATGAAATCATTAGTGATAGCAAATAGTGTTAGTCTGTTGAATTAGCCTAGCGGATAACAATGACTGCATTAATTGGTAATAGAGACGGCTCCGATATCTGCACCTACCTGGGTGAAAATCATTGGGATACCGAGGAGGAATGACGCGACCCAAGTTATGATCACTATTTTGCGGGCCTGGCTTATTGTGCATGTATATTGCGCCTTCATTGGATGAACTATCGCATAATACCTGAAACACGAATGGAATTCGCAATTAGTTCAGCGAAATTTATACTAGTGTATGTTTATACTGTACGCAAAAGCGAATTAAATTAGTTCCAGGAACTAGATTTCTTAAAAGGCCTTGTATCGAGAAGTGAAAAAGAAAAAGCCAGTACAGCAAACAAGCATTTTATGAGGAATTAAATGGTATTTAAAAAGAACGTCCCCTATCACATTAGAATGAATATTCCTTCAAAGGCGGAATGAACTCATTTCCATGAAAAAACTGTTGCTTCCATTTAAAGTAAATGAGGCATATAGTATCTTCTTCAGAGAATAATAATTTCTCCCGTGTCTTCCGGGAACTTGGAGATCGCTTGAAAATCTTTCACGTAATTAAATTTTTCAGCTGAGGATAAAACGCGGGAGATGCAAATTTCTTTTCATCCGACGCGGTGTTGTCAAACGCGAACGAGTTTCCTGGCTAATGGAGGAAGACAACCGTTTCAATCTCTCGTTTTAACAGATCCATTAAGAGTAACAAGTTTTAATAGCGGGCTATTTTGGCGATAATACCGGATGACGAAGTTTTGAATAGAACTCGAAGTTCCTACGTGCAAGTCGCGCGACGTTATTGCTCCGATTGTAATTTACCGTGACTAATAATGGAGTTTCAGAGCAATCCCGGCCTCCAACGGAACGTAAAACTAATAACGCGATATTGCAAACGTAAATAGGAATATCAAAATCGTATGCATCGATCCATTAATTAAGTTTGACAAAGTATTTTATATTTTTCATTATTAAAAATGTTTAATAAAAGAGTTAAAACGATATTCGCTGTAAAACTAACTAAACGTTTTTATGACTGAAAAAAATACTCCTGACAATCTGTTCACCATCATTACCTATCACCCTCGTAAATTGCTAAGGTTTTCACACACCATTACCATATATGTAAAACATGGTATGGCTAGGGTATGGAAGATTGGAATCACGTGGTGGTGAAGTATGTGGAGGAGAGAGAAAAGAGTGGAATAGATGAGAAAGTGATGGAGGTATTGGATGAAGGGATAGGGTAGATGTGGTAGTGGTTAAGGATTGAATTAAGGGATGGGGAGAAATAGTAGGGAGAAAGACATATAAAGGCGTAAGGTAAAAATACATAGTACATCACACCAAGAAAGGAGATCCAAAATGAATGAAATGGAATAAGGGATAAACAAAGAGGCGTTAGAAAACTGATAAGAAAGATAAGAAGAAAAGAGAAAGAAAGATAATACAGGGCGATACATGAAATACACGAGAGAGATCGACAGAGGTGTTCAAATTTGGGAAATAAAGGTAAATTAAGATAGTGTAAGGCAGACATAAGGTAGAATAAGATTGTAAACCAAAGAGGAATCAATTAATAAATATGTACAAGGTGGTCCTTTTAAGTATGCCCACCTAAATATTTTTTCAGCTTATTACTGATTGAGATGTTTTTGGTTCCAAACTCTTGGACTATAATTATAATCTAATCTAACAATCTACTGGTAGATGAACTCGAAATTCGCATAAAATAATGAAAGTTTTAGAAGGGTAAACTATAATGATGTAAGGGTTGAAACTGGGGAAGGATATAACTCGTGGGTTTGTTCCACGTATTCTTCAGGGAGATATACGGTTAATCTCTCGGAAGAGGATGGATAGCAATCTGGGAGCGCTCGCAATCTGATCTGAAATGGAAAGGACAATTCGAGGTAGCTCGCGTTAACTGTTCGCGAAGGGTGTGGAAAGAAGGGAGGCGAAACTTATTATCGTGGAAGTACGCCAACGACCTGAACTTCCGGTTGGATGCCTAGCTAAATTTCGAATTCCTCTTCGATGGGACTCGTACGAGGGATCTGGCAATTTTTAGATAAATTTCTACCGAGTTGATTAGATTTCTAACGCGTCATTTCACCGAAAGGAATAACGAGGAAAATGTCGACCCGATTTTCAATGGGATTCTGATAATCATATTTTAATCATAGAAAATATGTAAAGTTAAATTGTATAGATAAGATTAGACACGAAGTTTTCATACCAAGAACTCAATGAACTTACAAAGCTATGCAATAAATTACTAATTTAATGTATTTAATAGATTTGTACAACGTTCCGTAAGGACGAATTAATTAGCATAGAATTTTTAAAAAGCGAACATTCTGCCAAGATGTTACTTAATCTTTCGGTTGGGTCTCATCCAGATCTGTCATGTTGAAGGTCGTTCAACAACTCTCGTAAAACCCAATCAACAGAAGTCAAGATGCACTATGTATATCTAAATTCTTCAAGTTCTAGACATACGTACGTAACACCTATTTCAGTCAAAATAAATGATTCCAATCGACATGCCAAACGTAATATAGAACTGTTCAGAAACACCTGTTTCACGAAGCTCATTCATCAAATTTCGCGCTACCATTTTCGTTGCATTTTCGATCACTGTCAGCTAGTACATACGTATGTATAGATAAGATGCTATATCAGGCGAGACTCGCCAGCGGAATCTATAATCCTCGGTTAATAATACGGGGCGCGAACCACAAGAAACTGGGTGATCATTAAGTAGAAACTTAAAGTGGTTTCGAGGCATAACGAAACCTAAGATTTAACCACGAATCGGTGCGAAACGGTAGCTTTCGCACGTAGCTTCACGGAAAAGCGAAAGGTCTCCGTGGGGAGATACAGCGCGCTATAAATAAGTTGAATTTCAGGGAGATCGTTTAAGTGCGTCAATTAAGTGAAACGTGGCGCACGTTAAATGGTTCCCCGACTTTTATTCCTCCGAGCAGATGGTTTCTTTTAAAATACAACCGTTCACTACAGAAATGATAAATCACGAGAAATGTTTTAATTCAAGGAAAACAATTTTTCTTCTCAGATATCAAACTGAATTTTAAATGGCAAACTTCTTCATAATATTTGATCAATTTTATATTATAATTCTCAGTCAAATCGACTTTATAAATATAATAAATATAAAACTTGATGAAAATTAATCAAGCTATAAGTTTAAATAAAATGTAGGACAGAACATATTTTACGAAATGTTTCCCTATCAAAATGGATAAAGTGAAAAAGGGAAATGTCCTCGTTCCTCAATTTTCTAGGTGCTCTTGCAGATGACACGAGTCGGTGCGCATGTGATATACATTGATTTAAAAAATGGTGTAACCAGAGGAAGCAATAACGTCAGGTTTACCTTTCGATCGACATTGCGGTTAACGTGACGACCGAGCAAATAGCCGAGACGCTCTGCATATAATGCACCGACTTGCATAGGAACAGGCCCATAGTCCACGTGTACGAGAATAGCTTGGCCACCTGCAACAAACCATCCGCTTTGTCAGATTAAATTGTTTCACCCTAAACATACAGATTTCTCTCCCACACACGACACACAGTTCTGCATTCATTTTTCAAATATAAATATATCCATATGCTATTTCGAAATTACTAAATGTTTAAAATGCCACAGGTTGAAAAGATGAATGTACATTTTTTTTTGAGAAGTTAAAAGTTGAAAATATTGCGCACACAGTGATTCGTGATTCAGAAAACAGTTCCGAGTTCCTTTGCAAGGAAGGGTCGGACACAATGCAGGCGGAGAACAAGAATCCTAGGAGACAATGAGCGCTGCCAGTGCGTACTGGAATGAAAGAAAAAGGGGGCCACCGGCGAGATGAAGGAACTTGAGGAGAACGTTTCACTGAGCGAAGGAGCAGAGAAAGCGACGAGAAAAGTCAGAAACGTGTTTAATCAACCCCTTTAGACCGTGCCAAAGAAGGTGGACGTTACTGGAGTATGCACTTTGAAGCTGTTGATGAGCGCGAGACTCACTTGTTTAAAAGGCACTAGTTTTCGGAATTCAAGTCTGCCATACTGTTCGCCGTGAACCGAATACTATCTTCGAAAGACTGATAACATAGGGGCTAAACAATTTCCTTTGTCCTAACACTTGTGTTAATTTCACGTGACATTTTATGGTGTATTAGAAATGTCAGTAAATGGAACTCTTTTTATTTCACCTTTTACTGTATTCAGAATCTCGGAAGGGTCGGTAGACAAGCTATGGAAAACGGAAGTGAAGTACAGTTTAGTGCACTAAAGAAAGTTTGGCAGCCACTTAGAGAAGCCTGTACTCAGTTTATTACCCACGTCTTAGGAACAGTTATAGGCATCCACTTAGAGAATACTGACTTTCACCCAGTTTATTACCCAGGCCTTAGAAACGGTTATAGTTATAGGCTTATCAGCTTAATCGCACTGAATTAAATATCAGTTATATCAAAGACAATATCTCTCAATAGGAAATTCATTTTTGTATACATGTATATGTGATGATCCAACGTGGGACAATTAAACTACTTTACTTCATTTAAAATTTAGAATCAGAATAAGTTATGACATTTTTTTATATTTGTGTATGTGTATATTATAAAATAATCCAAGATGGCATAACCAAATTATTCTCCTTTATTTAGAATAAATGATAACATCAAAAATGAAAAATGTATATATTTTATCAATCCTGTAGACTTATGATAGCAACTTTTAGGAACATGAAATGATGGACCGTCCTGGTTTTTTACTTCGATGGATGAGTAAACTTCGTTCTTTGGTAGCGAAAGCCAGAACTACGCTCGTTTCTTAGCCAGACTCCAATCGAGCTGGTGGAACTGTAATCGTGGCGAGGATAAGGAAACGCAAGACTGATCTCAATTGCTCGAGTTAAGTCGCTTAGTGCTCGCAACATGATCCCGGCCAACAACTGGCTGGCTACGAGCTGAATTAACGAATTTACAGTCGGTGGAACTCTTCCAGTCTCCCGTGAGCGTTTCCAATCAGACCGTGAGGAAAGAGTAAAGTCGTGATCGATCGCACACGGCGCGGGCTATTGGAAAAATCGTGAAAGAGCAAAGGGCGTACGCGGGGGGTAGTCGACTGTCACCCGTAGGGAATATTCTTAAGTCGTCGGCAAAGAGAGAAAGATGGAAACCGGAGGAGTCGATGAAAGCAATCAACTCGAGTAAATACCGAGGTATTTTCGGGCAACCGCGAGGCGTGTGAAAAATTGCAAAACAAAGCTCGGCAGATTTCTCCTCTGACTGCTTGTTTAAAACCTGTGCAATAAATTGAATTCACAGATTTATTCAGTCACGCTTTTAACGACAGTCAATCCGTTTGTATCGCATCGCGTTTTTGCCACTCCGTCTACTTCAATTACTCGGCATTGAGAACCGATTTAACGTTCCCGCAGTGTACACAGATCACGGGGGAAGTTTGCAAAGTAAATATTACAACGGAAAATATTTGTAGATAAAGTCACTCAGTTTCCCCGCCCGCATTTTTCAATAAATATTTTTATCTGTTGACATAATATTTCCATCAGTATTTAATACCTGACAATTTTATTAATATTTGATTTAACTAAAAGGTAACGGGAGTCCGATTAACTAGTATTTTCTCCGTATAAAAAACTTTCTAAGGTCCGTTTCAATCATGCTCACAAACCACAATAGCAGAATCGATTAAAGCAGTGCCCATTAAGGTACTTTTTCAGATCAAACCTAATTTCTATGTTGATCGTGATCGACCAGCAGCAATTTTCTTGCTAGGTTCGGTAATCGCGTTACGCCGCGTCTCGGCTGCATTCGATTACCGTAATCGACTGAACTTTCCGCTAATTACATTCATTTCAACAAGTAGGGAAGAAACTGTAACCACTAGCTCCCAATACTGTTAATAATTTAACTATGGACCAGTGTTGAGCACCGAATCGATTTCTTGTTCGTCAAGAAGCACCTCGTGCAGGCAACTACGCTACTGTATATTACATGGTTTGGACAGACCGAGTTTAGTCGAAGCAATTTAATCAATTGCACTGTACACGTGTTCTCGTCGAGTCGAGAGCTTGTCCTCCCTAAAGATTTCGGTTAAACGCTACGACTACTAACAATTAGGATTCAATTACGACACGGATTAAAAGCAAACATGTGAAGATGTAAGAAAATTGCTAATTAAAAAATGTACATATTCACTAGTAACTAATTACTTAGATTCTCAGATGAGATTAATGGACTTAGCTTGTTACAGAGTTCCTTACAGAATTATCAGATGATTATATTTTATATAAATGATAGAAGGTATGAAAGAGTAACATAATTGAAGAAGCTAATTCCTCAAGCTACCTATGCGTATCAGACTCGTTAATTTTGTTTAGCAAACAATCCTCGTTACCAAACCGAGCTGCTCGACTGAAACAAAATCGTGAGGCAAAAGTTGTCAACTCCAAATAATGTTTGTTGAAACTACGGTTTACGTAATTTAATTAATGGTTTCCAACAGTTTCCATTTTTCTGGTCTCAATTTCCCAACCAATGCCGACGAAAATCGTAGAACGGAGAATAATCAGTGCTTTAAGAAAAGAATTTTCTTGATTGCGCACCGTTTCGCGTCGAATGAGATTTCCACTCCCGGGAGAGAGGAGAGTAGGAAGCTGGGAAAATGCATAACGCACAGAGGGTATTACTAGGGACAGGGACAGAAGCCTCTCCTGGCAAGCTGTGCGTCCTGTAACGAAATTATTTCTGCATGTTCGGGAATGCTTACAAGCCCGTTTAAATGCTGCCGGGCACAAGCGCTAGCATTTGATTAAAATCAACACGCCTCTACCTCACCTCCGGCGAGACGGCGATCAAGCGTGCGCCTGATTCACGGTACAAATTGTGACTTCGGAATCCTTTATAACGTAGAACAAACGAGAGACTAACAACGACTCTTTAATACCTTAGTATTAAGAAGAACAGGAAATTAATGATTATGTTAATAGATTCTTTTGCATACATTTTATTTCATTGGATTTTTATATTTTAATATTTTTACTAATTAAATATATCTGTGCATTTCATTTACTTTAACATCTGCTTAGTTTTAACAGTGAACTTCTATTTCATAAATTGCGTGGAGTAACACTTATTTTACAAGTGTTTAATACTTTCATATTAAAAAAGAAGAAAAACAGAGAAATAATTATATTTAATGATTACGTTAATAGATACTTTTACATACATTTTATTTCATTGGATTCTCTCTTGTATTTTAATATTGTTACATCATAATTAGATATATAATTTATTCCAACTCCATTTGAGGTTTAGGAGTGAACTTCTATTCATAAATCACGTCTAGAAACATTTAATACCTCTAATTTAGATCTTTAGATCTCAATATGCGTTCACGATTTCCACTCGACGTTCATGGCTCCATCTACGAGACTTAATTCTGAATTTTCCACGAAATACGGTAATGGAAGTACATTCGAACAAGAGCGCAATAAACGGAGGCTGATTGAAAGATTGTAAATGCACCAGAATTTGCAAGGAATGCATAATAGAGGACTTCTACAGGTAAAGTACCGAAACTCAATTCAGTCATTCAAACGTCGTTTGATATATTTTTATTTCAAATAATAAGAGATCTATCTGGATATTCCATTGAACCGCGATTCATTCTGACAGATCAATTTCGCTGCGACTGCTTGGAAACGGGGCGACGACGCCTCTCTTTCTGAAAGCGAGAAAGACTGGCCTATTCACAGTTACGAGTGGTATTCAATTTAAGTCGCGCCCGGGATAGTCGGGCAATTAATAACGAGCACTAATTAAAATGGCAGACGGCGCGTTGCGATTGCGCTACGCAATGGGAGAACGAGTCAAGACCCAACTGTTTCTACGCTTACTTAATTAATACCGCCCCCGGTAATTACTTAATTATCAGTAAACCCGATCAGGCACAGTTGCCATTAGAAACTGGTAATATCCCCCATGTTATTTACGGCGAAATTTTGGATCGACTCTGTACTTGCAACGTCCGTGATTTAGTGAACATATTAATTTCAATGAGCGCAAGGCGATTCAGTTGCATCATTAACATAATCGCTTCCGATAAGTTAATTTCGATTTATTGAAGTAAAAACAAAAAATATGTATTATGAAATCAGTAAATTTTTATTCTCGTCCTGCACTGACTGTCTGTTATTATTATGACTAGACTCAGGATTTCTATGCTAAATGAAATTTCTAAAATATGAAGAAATGATATTTAGTAAGAACGTGCTTTAATTATTAGATATTTTATGCACTTTTCTCTTATATAATTTTCTGCTTACTGAATTTTGTTATAAAGGTATAAAATCCGAAGTCTGGTTTAATTCTATATAAAGTATAATATAATTATTTTAACACTGTACCTGATTTTTATACATAAAGCAAAATATTTGAAACTTAAGCAAGATTTTAATTCAAAGGAAATACAGTTGATTA